TAAGGAATATTCACAATTAGAAAACAAAAAGGAATTTAAATCAATGAAGAGGACAGACCTCTAGGTATCTATCTAAAGGAAATGAAATCACTATCTCAAGAGACACCTGCACCCCCTTGTTCATTGCAGCATTATTTACAGTAGCCAAGACATGGAAACAATCTAAGTGTCTGTCCATCACAGATGAATGGATTGAAAAAAATGTGGTATATATGTACAGAGGCATATTATTCGGCTGTAAAAGAGAAGGAAATCCCGCCATTTGCAATAACAGCACCCCAGTTGTTTCTGGTTCAGCCATAATGGGCTGTGGTGAAAATGGAAACCCAGGGAAGAGGATCAGCACTGATGTATCGATCATTTAGGGCTCAGGAAAAAGCAGGCTGAAAGTCACAAAGCTTGACTTTGAGAAGGCAACAATGAGGGCAGGAGACACAACCATACAGGTTTGAGTGTGAAAATAAAAGGGAAACACTGATGGTACCTTTTTAAGGAATCTGAGTGTCACATCACAGATCTGTCCAAGTGTTCACAGAGAGGGTGCCTCTAATTCCCAGACTGTGGACAGCAGATTTGTGGTGACACAGAACAAGACCCACACTCACATCAAAGTGCCAATGGCCCCAGGAGGAGCTGCTGTGAAGGAAGAAGGTGGGAATATTGATTTCTTCCTCACAAAAGAGACACTTAGCCCTAAATTTTCCCAGTAGGGATGAAGTTCTAAGACTCCTCATTGACTTAAATGGACTGGTGAAAGCTGGGATAGGGAGATTTGTTTCTTCTTCATGGGCAACCTAACGAAGACATTGTTTCCTGGCTATTTTCTCACAACATTGGGCAGGAGCACTGTGAAGGTCAAGACACCATTCCATCCTAACCCTTCATTTTCAGTCACGAATGACTCTCTTCGTGGTATTCCTTTGGGGTTGAAACTTGCCTGTTTTAGTTTGGACAATGAGGTAGATGAATTGGTAAGAAACAGTATAAACAGCAGGAAATTGTGGACACACCGAGGGCTTTGACCAAGGCAAGAACTCCATAGGGCCTCTTCCAGCCCTAGCACCAGCTGGCTGAGTGGGTTTAACCTTTCTGAGTCTTACTTTCATCATCCCGAGGGTAGAACTTCATGTTCTCTTCTACAATGATAAATAATAGTGGGAATGAACAACCTGCAGGAGTTAGAACAGTGCTGAAGAGTGTTGGACTTAAATTCTACTCCCTTAAAAATGGGCATAATCTCAGCAAGTCATTAAACTTCTGTGTCTTAGAATTCTCCTCCGTAAGATAGGAGGGGGTTCCTTCTAACCCTAAAATTCCGGGATAAGTTTATCAAGAGCTGAGGGAACAGAAATATTTTGAAAGCAGAATTTACAGGTAAAGAAGATTGGAGGCAAACTTAAATAAAAGATACTGTGATTAGTTGAAGAACTAAGAAGCCAAATTTGTGCCATCCATGTTTGCATCACAGTGAGTGCTTCTTATCAGTATGAGAAGCAAATTTCAAAAAGGAAAAAAATCAAACCCAAGTCTCTTTAGCGTCAAAACCCTTTATTTTTAACAATGTTACCATTTGGATTAAAAATGATTTCTCTTAGAACTTCTAGAGTAGCAGAAACAGTTTGAAGCATTTATTTATAGGTTGCTTTTAAAAATGATTTCATCATTATCCATTAGTATTTATGTATAGACAGCATGCTAGATCTCTATACAGCAAAATAGAATTCTTTCTCGAGTGAGATGGAAATGAATGGAAGTTAGAAAATTCAGAAGACAAAAATTGTAGCAAAATAAACTGTTTGATAGAATAAATATTTTAAAATGCAGCTCTATCCCATGTGCAAATGTAGCTAAATTAACATTACTATGGAGACTCTAACCTTTAGATTTCTTGACTTCTAGCACACGTTATTCTTAATATTATTGCTCCTTTACCCCAGTGTTGCACGTTTAGTATTCATTTACATTTTTCTTCTGGTTCAGTAAATAATTTTGAATTTTGACACATATAGTGGAGGGTGTAATGGCTAGTAAAATGGTTAAGACTTTTTTGTATGTGTATTGTTATAGAGAGCTTGTCTTTGAGCTTTGTAAGTAGAAGTGATCTGGTCTGGAACACTCCACTCAGGAGCTTATTTTAGTAGTGGTTTTCTCTTATAGGTACACTCTGTAAATCCCTTCTTTCCACCTACATCTGCAATCCCAAATGTTTCTTGCATATTCCTGGGTTTAGCTGTCTTTCCCTACGTGCATACCTTACTTTTTCCTCCTACTTTCTTTTACAGAGTTCTCACCTATTGCCAAAACTTGACAAAAAAGCATTTTTTAAAATTTTTTAAATCTTTTTTTTTAAAGATTTTATTTATTTATTTGACAGAGAGAGAGCACAAGCAGGGGGAGTGGTGGACAGAGGAAGAGAGAGAAACAGACCAGTGACTGAGCAGGGATCCCTCCTGCCGGTGGGGGCTCCATCCCAGGACCCCGGGATCATGACCTGAGGCGAATGCAGATGCTTAACCGACTAAGTCACCCAGCCGTCCCCAACAGAAAAGCATTTTAATTATTTCCCATTTGGAATCCTTCAATCGATCTTAGATTTATATTGTTTATATGTACTATCATGTTTTTTCTTTATTTATATCCTCAGTCATAATAGGAGACAAAGAGAAAACATCTTGCTATGAAAAAACAGCTTTTCATAGGATCCAGGCTGGGAAGACATGGTATAGAAACTTACATGGTCACTCAAGAATTTTAAATGGTTTGGGAAGCTTTATCATTCAGGGTTCTCCTGCACCATCCTTTACAACCAGCACCATTAGTTAAAAGATTGCCCCAAGGAAGGTTTCCTATTTTATAGACAGGGAAACTGACACAGAATTAAGTATCCTGGTTAAAGCTATGGGTGGTAGAAGCAAAAGCAGAAGAAAATTTATCTACTTCTCTTGGCCATGTTGCTTCTATCTTCAGGGAGAATACGCAGTCCATTATAACATAGGCAGTCTTCACTTAACTGATTCAGAAAGGCTGTGGGGCCAGGGCTAGTTGCAGAAACATCTAAGATCAAGACTCTACAAAGCAGAAATACAGAGATGTAACGACAGTGTGTTCTGGGGAGGACTGTGAGTAGACAGGTCTGTAATAACAGTTGGTCACGGCAGCAACAAGGGCCACAAAGATAAAACAGGAGTAGCCGGAACCTGAGCTTTATTCAGCAATGTGCGCTCACCAGGATGCCGTCATTTTCCCTTCTGAGAAAAAGTACAGTCTAATGGGTTACCTTCTCACTTCACTGGGGACGGTGCCGGGATGCCTGGGCTTCGAGCTATCCAAAGCACGGGCCTCCCGAAAAATCAGGGGAGCGATACTTAGATTAAAAAGCGGTCGTGAAGCCATTCGAGGATCTGGGCAGAAGGTCCTCTAGGGCACTAGGTAGCAATGCGTGAGCGGGGCTGGGCTGGGCCCGACGTGGAAGGAGAGACCCTGCAACAGCCACCGCGTCCGCAGGACCCTGGCGAGAATCGGCTTTGGGGAGGGTGGAGAAGAGTGCAACCCCGAGAGGGGCCTGCTCCCTCGGGAAGGGAGAAAGCCGGCAACCGCAAGCGCGGTGCACAGATTGACGGGTGAAGACGGGGGACCGGAGAGGGGATGGGGCAGGGTGGTGGCATCCTGGAGGCGTGAGGGGTTCGCCTTGAAGACTGAGGACTAGGCCGGGACCAGGGCAGCAGAGAAGAGTGAGGGAAAGACCCCTTCCTTTGGCAGCTTCCAATTCGTTTCTGTCAAAGATGGCCAAATTCCACGCTGCCCTGCCCCCCTCCGCGCTTTCTACTGGTCCCCTCGGGTTGCTCCCCAGTGCTGCTGCAGGCGGTGGGGAGGTCCGGGTGAGTGTGCGCGCCGGGAGGAAGGTGTGGAAAAGAGGAGACCCTCCCTGGCCGCGCCTCCCACCCCGCCGGCCCTTTGGGAGGTTCTTTTAGTTGAGAAAGAGGGCTCTGCCGCTTTAAGGTGGGGAGTAGGCGTCACCTCTGGCCGGGTGACGAACTGGGGCGGGGACCGTGTGGGCGTGCCCATGCAAAGCAGGAGGTGGTGCTGGCGGTGGGCGGCCCCATAGTAAAATATTCGAGGGAGGGGCGGGGTCAAGGAGGCAAGGCTACTTGGTGGGCGGGGAGATGGGGGCGGGGCGATGGGGGCTCTCCGGGAAGGCCGGGGAGGGGGAGGAGGAAGCGGCCGGGTTGGTACCATTGCGCGCGTTCAGGGAGGGGGACGAATGACATTCCCTTGGAGGGGGGCGGGCCCTTCCCCGCGGCGGGCCCCGCGCCGAGGTGGGGAGGGGCAGTCCCCATTCCCCCGCCGGGCGGGACGCCGGGGCCGGGGGAGGGGGCACCTCTCTGCTCGCGTCCAAGGCGGGGCCGGCGGTACCTTTCGTGGCGCGGTGCGGCTGGGGGAGGGCGGAGGGGAGGGGGAAGGGGCGGGACCGGGAGGGGGGAGCCGGAAAGGGGGAGGCGCCGGCGGACAATGGAGCCTATGTGTGCCTGCGGGAGTGGGACGGCGCCGCCGCCGCCGCTGCCGCCGCCGGGGGGAGACGCTGCGCCGCCGCTGCCGCTGGCCCCGGCCCCGGCCCCCCGGGGCTGAGAGCCGCCCCGGACCGAAGCCCCCTCCCCTACTCCGCTCCTCCTCTCCCCTCCCCCACTCCCGCCTCAGGGGTAAGTGGCACCTCGGGGGGAGGGGGAGGGGAAGGGGAAGGACCAGAGCCGGGGGGGTGGGGGGGCCCGGGTCCGCGTCCGCGTGTTTTGAGCCGGTTTGGGGGCAGGGGTAGCCACAGCCGCGGAGAGCCGTGGGGGTGGGGGGGGAGGGGAGAAAGGGGCGGGGGTCGAGGTTGCGGATGTAGTGAGTTGAGTCTGGAGAAACCTGTGGGGGAGGAGGGGGGCGTCCTTTGCCCACCGCTCTATGAGCGGTGGGAAGAGACCGCGGCATCTCTCGATTTTTTAGGGGTTGTGTCCCAGGCACTGCTTGGAGAAGCTAAATGAGGAGATGGGACGGTCCCAGGGTCTTGGGATGAAGGGGCTTTGGAGGGGCGAGATGGAGAGCTAAATGAGGGAATTCGGGTCGAGTTTGGTGGGGTCTGTAAGACCCTGGCGGTGGTAAAGGGGACTTTGCAGGCCAGTGACTTGTTGAAGGGTGAGGGGAAGTGAAAGCTAAGAAGCGTGTAGGAGTAGTAAAGGGCTCCAGTAGGTGAGGTGCTGATGTCTAGGTCACTGAGTCATTGTGGGGGTCGTGGACACACCAGGGATTTCCAAAGTGGAACCCTGGTCATTGACCTTTGAAAATTGCAGACTATTAAGATGTCACAGGTTAGTGTTGGGTGAGCCTGGTGAAATGGAGATATCCTAAGGAAAACAACAGCAGGGTTGGTTATGTTCAGAAGGAAGGGCCAGAGGCCTGTAATATTGTCGCTGGGGGCCTTACCTGAAGGCTCCCAAGCCTGAAGGAGGAGGCCTCAAATCTGTCCTCCAGGGGCCCTGGTCTCTGCTAGAGAGGAGGGACTTAGAGCCTAAGTTGCAGTCCAGTTGGGGACTGATAAAGTTAGTGGACAAGGCATCTCTTGCTGGAGAGCCTCTAGGATGGGATGAAATTGGTGCAAAGTTAGGCTTTGGTTAAGGCAAACATGGATAGATCCCTGGCGGTGACTTTAGTGGGAAAGTGATTTAGTGGCTGTGTAAAGAGATTCATTTGGGTCAGTGATATGTGGTGGGTTACTAGCATTTGAAATATACAGGAATTAAGTGTTCATTCTTAGACCAGAGATTTGGACTCTTGTGCACAGAGCACAAAATGATGAATTGGAAGTAGCAGGTAGGAAGGATGAATAGTAAAATAGTTGGGAGGGCAAAAGGATATGGGTGGGTAACAGTCATGTGTGGGTTAAGAACCTTTGACTCTTTGTGGAGATTCAGCAGTGTGATCGCCCTGTTAATTTTGTTTATTGTCTTGATACTAGTGATCTGGGAAATTTTAGCAAGGAATTAATGTTACTGTGAATAATGTTTTGGTCACAAGTACAAATTTAAGAAAGATATCCTTACTAACTATTGAAAAAAGACTCAAGCTATTGAAGATAGAGATGAGTTAATAAAAGGAGAAGTTAGTTAGACGATGTAAGGATGTTTTGAAGGATGAGGATTCCACTAACTGGTGGTCTGAATAAGAAGAGAAAATTTAAGGCAAAGTTGGGGCATGGGTAACATTTCATAGTTTTAGGACTGAGGATCTAATGGTATTGAACCATTATAATATTATTTTGTAATAACAGTGTTGCAAGTAAGGTGATAATAGTTCCACAAGATATGGTAGGTAGGTAAGGAGGTCATTGACTAAAAGATGAAGGAACAATTCCACACTGTTCTCTTCTTAGGAGGCAACTTGTATGTAATGTGGCTTTTGAGCTCAGGATCCCTGACCTGGATTTTTAGATGACTAGCATAGGTGAAAAAGTACTTATGTACATTGGAATTTATTCTGTGGAATATTTGCCCCATCGCCCCCAGGAGTGTCTGCTTTTGTAAATCAAAAGAAAATGCTCTCTGGCTTATAGGGGATAGAAAATACAGAGGTTTCACAAGTATTATAATCAACTAAATATTTGATCATAGTGACTTGGTATAGTGGTTAGAGTCCTTGAACTTGGAATCAGGAAACTGACTCTCCCATTGACTTATGGGACTTTGAACCAATCTTTCATATTTATTGTCCAGTTTCCCCGTTTATGAAGTCGTGGTACCACTGCCCTGACCACTCATAACCCATTGCAGCGCTTAACAAATGAATGCCTATCTGCAAAGTGCTTTGAACACTTCTGAGAATGAGAGATGATGTAGCCAAACTTTTTTCTCGCTTTTAAAAGATTACTCTCTCTCAGGAACAGAACAAATTCAGCCTTTGTAACAATTATGGCAGCATAGTTGATCAAGAAACAAAAAGGAGTACCTTATACATCTGTCTTGTTCGATCGTCTGAGTATTGGTTTTCTACTAATTTTGAAAGGTGATACCTTGTCCCCATTTAGTAGTGATGACAATTGTGGAATGTAAGAAAAGGTCCCCATGGAAGAGTAGGAAATTCACAGCACATGCTGTGAATGCTCACCTAGGCTGATGCCCACCCTAAATTTGAGTGACCTTGGACGTGTTACGTGGCTTCATGGTGGCTTAAATTTCTTCCAACTATGAAGTAATGTTGGTGGCATAACTTAACTTGTCTGTCTGCCTTGGTGACTATGATGTTAGAATCTATAGGAACTTTATTTGTTCGAGAACAACTTTATTTGTTCGAGAACAACTTTATTTGTTCTTAACCTCCTATGTCCTACATACCCCTTTGGCCAACTAATGAAGCGTAGGACCTCTTTCAAGAATTGTGTTTTTGAAATGCATAAAATAGAACATATAGACTTAGAAGTGACAGGGAAACAGCAAAATGTTAAACAATTATGATACAGTAATTTATATGCTTCTTTCTAACACATTAAATAATAAAGTGTAGCTGCAGATCTCACCTTACTGTGATTTTGAAGTAGGGATGGGTGTAAATATTGTGTTGGGATATCTGCAACAAGTGTAATGCCACGGGAAAGTGTCCTGTGGTTCGTCTTGGTGACAGTCACGGGATTGCTAATACTACCTACCGCTGGTTGTTCCCTCCCTTCACAATTGACGGCAGTGCTAACTTTTGCTAGAGGTGAGTGAGTACGAATGAAGATGGAAGTTTTCCCCCGGAAGTTCGCAGCTGTCACTAAGTCTGTCCACAGACCCCATGTGAGCCAGTGGGTCCCACATCAAGAACTCCTGCTCTAGACCAACTGATTTTTGAAAGTTAAATTTTCTTATGGCCACTTGCATTTTAGACTTTGCAATATTTTTTCAGCATCTCCATCATGCTGAACACAAGGGCATAAAGAAGATATGAAATAAAAGTCCATTTTGCAACCTGTTGGTGACTGTTCTTGGTTGTGGAGAAAGTTAAAAACAATGATTAGCTTGAGGCTTTTGTGTCTGGTGGTTTTGCTTTTCTAATAAACAACCCCAGCTTCAATGGGATGGATTTGGGCTGCACTGCTCCATCTTCTTGCATTTTGAGTTTTAGTGGTTTTGCCTTCCTTCCCCATTTTTGACCTAATTATTTTCTCACTGCTCCTTCTAAATACTGTTTTGGCCTCAGAGCATTGGGGAATGGGTGGTTTTCTTTGCAATCAGTGTGAATTGGGGTATGAACTTCTCTATCCTTCTCACCCCTGTAGGACTGAATGTGGGGCTAGCTGGTGTCACTCCACTTTGACCTAAAAATCCCCTTCTGTTTGGGAGGCAGAGATCATTCTTGGAAAGTTCTTCTGTGTCCCAATGTAGAAGAGAGAGCAGAGTGGACATCTCGAAAGGTAAAGACACTGATGATGAACATACGACTTCTGTGATTCAATCTGAGTATTTTGGATTTTTGTTTGTTTCTGTAGGGTCTCTTGTAAGTTAAAACTACATTTGTTTCCCAAGGCAAAGGTCATCAAGTTAAATGCAAGTCAAAAGTGTAAGCGTAGTTACCTTCTGTTTTTCTGTGAGCAGGGACTTCCCGCAATAGCTCACTCGTGGGAAAGGCAGGTGGTAGGAAGTTAAACAGGTATTTAGCATGTCTTCATTGGTTTGTGTAAATTCGAGGCAAGGGTAGCAAAACTTAAGCTCCAAGCTCATTATAATCCCTGGATCACCTAGCATTTCTTGAGTTTCTCCTGGGTGTTGGGTGCTGTGATGATGACCCTTTCCTCAGGGGGCTATCTGTCTACACATAACAGGGATACAGTTTTTTAAGTGTTATAATAGGATTGTGACCATAATGCTATAAGGGACCCAGAGGACTTTCCTAAGGACAGTTGGGAATCAAGGAGAATTTCACAAAGAAGGGACATTTGTGCTGAAATTTTACTTTGGGTGACCATTATTCTAAATGATAGAAATTCATTTTTGAAGGCTTAACTTTTATCAAGACTCTTTAGTTTGATATAAGTTACTTGCTTGCTTAAGATTCGTCACCTTAAAGGATAATAGAGGCATTCTGACCCTTCAAGTATGAAAACATACATTAGTATTTTGTATGGACCAAGGTTTTCTGTGCATGTGCATATGCATCGTATAGTTTTCTTTTCTCCGCATGTTGGGGAAAGATTGGTTCTTCCTATTGTGTACTTTTGCTGAGAGGAAGCTGTTAGGAATTGGCATGCCAGAAGTTAAGAATGAGCTTGGAATGGAATCTTGCGGCCTTTTAGTGCCACATTCTAAGTTTGATACTCTGCCTTTTATGGAGTAGTGGTCATAGCATAGAAATGAACTTTGTTAAACTTGACATCATTGTAATAAACTTGACTTCTTAGAGCAGAAAAGTGGGAAAGGATCATTGGAGGAATTGAAATTGGAATTGTAGAGGTGATTCTAAGCTTGGTCAGATTATTTTGTGAATTTATTTACAACTTTGTGACAACCTTATAGAGTCTCCTTTGAAAGATTCCAAAATAATTTGGCCTTAGGACAATCTGGAACTTGCTTCTTCCTTGCAATTTCAAAACTATAAAATCTGGGCAAAGGGGGAGGCTCGGGGTTATAATTCTGTTTTACGAGGACTAATGTTAGAAATTGTCCTGCTTGGCCAGTAGCTTGTTTTCTTGACTTATCTAGCCCCGTTCATTTTAGCGTTTTGCACACAGTAGGCACTCAGTCATGGAAATCATCTGGCCAGGTTGTTCAGCCCCACGATCTCCCAAAAGCATGTGAAAATACCCTTCCTTGCTGAGTGCTTGCCGTGTAGAGTGAGGGTTCAGAGTAGGGAGGACTACAATTCTCTAGCCAGCCAGAGTAGGATGCAGTGCGTCTGCAGTTTTGTCTCTTTCTCCTTCCCAGTCAGCTCCAGTTTTCTGTACGAATGAGGAATGGGCAGCAGCAAAAATGTGAGGGTTTTTTTTTTCCTACGAAATGCCCAGAAATTTAGAAAGTAGAAACATTGATTTTATTTGCCCTTAGTATTTCCCAGTCTCTGAAAATAAAATGTGCAGCTGGGGAGGAGGGAAAGTCACAGGGGCCTTGAGATGTCTACCGATTGGATAATATACTCTTTAAAAATTGGAAGTTGATTCCCTTTACATGGGAGATGACAACTGCCTCTTAATCGAGCATTCTAGAATACATAGGAAATCTGCTCTTAAGATATGCAGTAACAAGATATGTAGTTTGTTTTTTTTTTTTTTTAATCCATTTAGAAATTTTTCTTCTTTATCCTCATCCAGGTGAGGGCACCTTTGAGAACGGGGTTCCGGGACTCCTCCAACTCCTCACCTCCAGAATGAGCACTGCAGTATCGTGACCCTTGGGGTTTGGGTGAGTAGCCTGATGGATCGTAGTAGCACTAGAGAGCCTGGCTGGCTTAGAAAGATGATCCTGGGGAAAAGCTTCAACTTTTGTTCAAGAGATATTTTTTGAGCAAATACCACATGCCAGGTGCTAGAGTAAGTGCTGGGAATACAGGGATGGACAGGTCACTCTTGGTCCCTGCCTGTCCTTTCTGGAGAAGAAATTCTGAAGCCAGGATTTCATGCCTTCAGCGAAAATATTCAAACTCAATATGGAGGGTTGAGGTGAGGGAGAGGCTTGTCGGGAATGATGCCTGTGTTTGTGGCATGAGCAGCTGGGTGCCATCTACTGCAGGGTGGAAGACAGCAGGACAAATACTCTGGGGAGGGGGGCCATCTGGAGATGAAGAATTCCTCTCCTGTCTTGTTGAGTTTGAGACATCAAGGGAGATATCAAGGTGGCATTTGTGGGTGCTGGTCCGCAGGGCAGAAGCTGAGCTGGGAATGGGAAACTGGGAGTTGTTGGCATGGAGAGAGCTTACCGAATGAGAAGAGAAGGGGCCCCAGGGTAGAGTCCCGAGGACCTCTGAGTTGTAGAGATTGAATAGAGAATGGGCCGGCACAGGGGGCAGACAGAGTGACCAGAGAGGTGGGAGGAAATTTAGGGAAGTGGGGCACCATGGAAAGCGAAAGAGGAGAGTTTCAAGAAGGAAGCAGTCAGCTGGCAGACTAAGAGATGGAGTAAGATGAGGTTAGAACAGTGGCCAGTGGTGACCTTAACCAAAATAGTGGTTTCTATGATCCGGGTGGGGGTGGCAGGTGGAAGTTGGTTTAAACTGGTGAAAGGGTGAATGGCAAGTAAGGAAGTGAAGACTGTGTGTGTCTTGTCAACTCTGGAGAAACTTGGCTCTGAAAGGGAATAATAACATGCTAGAGCTGGGCTTTGTTTTCCTGTAATTTTTTTTTGTTTTTTTCTCAATGCTGGAAGAGACTACCCCATGTCCAAGTGGTGACTGGAAGTATGCAGGAGATGGCAGGGAAGGTCAAAGGGAGAGAGTGAGAGCTCTCAGAAAGCTGGACGGAATGGGACCTAGACCACCCGTGGTGGAACTGACCCTTGGGGAGAAGTGGGCTGTTTTGTCTGTTTCAATAACAGAGAAGAAGGAGGGGATAGGTACTCTGAAAACAGGATTGCAGATTTGATGGTGAGCATGTCACATCTGGCCTGGTGACTTCTCTTCTTGTTAAGTCCTGGGCAAGACCATGCACTGAGAGAGGGGAGGGCGGGAAGGAAGGGGACAGTTGGAGATGAACAAAATATGAAATGCCATTCGGCAGGATAAGCTAGTGAGCTGGCTAGAGAATGGTAGTCATCCTAGTAGTAGTTCACCCACATGCTGATGTGGTACTGCTAAGCACTTTATTCCGTGCATGGGCTCCCCTTGTCCACCGAGTCCCCGTCTTGGCAGGCACCGAGTGATGAAGAGCACAGCCGGGGTGCCTGGCCCTGCACCGGCTCTCCCACGTACTGGGGTATGGCTAACTCAGGGATGACCCACGTCACTGGGGCAAACAGCTACACATTTCAGAGGCTCAGTTTCCTCATCTCTCAAATAGAGAGAGTAGGAGTACCTGCCTCCTGGTGCTGTGGTCAGTGAGTTTAGTATGTAGGGACAGTGCTTAAAAGAGTGTCTGACACCTAGTTAGGACGAATTTTAAATAGCATCTAAGAAGAAGAGGGAGAAACATTGAATAAGTAGATCTTAAAGTTAGGAGATTACTTTTTAGTGGAGGAAAAAATCTCTGTGTGTATGTAATTAAGCATCTTCTGTGGAAGAGCTTTTCCAGTCCTTAAGGTAAACAGTTGAGTACCACCCTGCAAATGTAGACGCCAAAGAGCTTAATGTGAGTCTTTGGCAGATTTCTTTTGCTTGGCTAGGGCTAAGGCTAGGGTGACGTACTTCAACAACTCCCCTAGATCAGGGGTTGAAGACCCTGGATTTTGTTGCCCATCTCTCAGTGAGTCCACATGCTTGTTTCAGCCTTCTTTGCTGTCTCCACCCATAAAGTCATGGTAAGGAGGTGGCTTTGCGGAAGAGCAGGGTCAGGGATCACCGACGGCAAACCTGGGAGAAGCCCCTCCCACAGTTCATGTGTGCTGGGGCCACTCATCTGTACAATGCCGGTTGATCAAGCTTGAGCAACTCGCGAGAAGAGACTGTCTGTAGGAGTACTTTGAAATAAAAATGTCATGTGCTCACAGTATTATTAGAAATCATCGTTGCTACTGGCTCCTCAGAAATGCCTGGCAGGTTGAGGCGATTTGATAGTTGTAGTATGTTCAGAGTTCCTTTGGAAAAAGAGTGCAACGCAAATGCCAGGTGTTTCTGTTCTGGGAGAAGCTGGGTCAGTCACGGAGGGTCCAACCACATCTTAGTACATCATGCTGACGATTATAGACAAGCCAAAGAACTTTAAAACAAGATTCCTGTCTTCAAAGAACATAGTCTTCATAGGGAGATAAAACATACACATAGGACTATTCAGTATGACATGTGATTGAGTGCTAGAATGCGTGATGCAGACAGAAAGTACCAGAAGTTACAGAAGGGGACTATCTAGGTGGTAACTGCTTTTCTGTTCCTGAGGTAAACGTTTTCTGATGGCTTTGTCCGTGCAAGATTCATTTGCTACTTCTATTTTACCAGTGATTCCTGATGTTTAGTGAGAGGTTACAAAATGGCTTATGATCACGTACGTCAAACTTGACAACCACGATCAATTTTATAGTTTAAACTGAAAAAAAAAAAAAGCTGAAGGTGGTGGGGGATAAAAATACAACCTTAAATGTAATCAAAACCAAAGTGTGTTTTAGGATGTTTTCTCCTAAGGTCGACATAGAAACATTCCATAACATTTTATTCTAGTTCTTTTTCTTGACTTCTTCACTTAAAAAGAAAAAAATGAAATCGGGTGCCCCGAGAACTTCCATAAATCCTTTCAGTGTCTCAGGTCAAATAGCTGGGACTGTTGCAAATTTCCAAATGAAGAAAGAGACATTTAGCACTTGACAGCGCTCCTACTCAGTGCCAAAACCTGGAATAAAACTCCCAGTCTTGGTCCAGTTCTGGAGTCTCTCAAGGGGTATGTGAGCTAGAACTAATCTGAGCTCCTTCTAACTTCCTTTGATCCTTCAGTCACAAATCCTACATCTTGTCTTCTCCTCCTTCGGTCCCATACTCCAGCGGCAAGATAGCAGAAGGTGGGGAGGGAGCTGAGGGGCCAGTGGTTACCAGAAAACCATGTTGGACCTGCCCTGGAAGGAGAAGGGACTGAAAGTGTATCTTGGTTTTCCCTGAACCAGTCTAGGCTTCCTTAAGGAAAGGGCTTTCTCATTTGTTCTCTGGCTAGGTTTGGGAATATTTTCTTGACCTTTATGCTTCAAATCAGCCTTGCAGATTGGCTCAGAAAATATCTTAGCTTTCAAAGATGTTCCTTTACCTTCAGCATTATGGATCATTCCCATGCTTACCCATGCCTAGGGTCCCCGTCATTAAACAGTGAGAACGCAAGATGCATCCTTGGCATCATTTGATAGAAAGAGCGTGACGTCACGGGGCAGAACTGATTGTACTTGGTGTTGCCTCCACAGCTGATTGCAGAAGTACCTCCTCCAATGTCTCTCCACCCCGAGGCCCTGAGAATATGAACAGAGATTAATTTGTTGCGTGGTTGGAAACTGGGATGGGTTTGTCACACGGCAGTGCCATTGTTTGCCATCCGAGGTGAAAGACCAGATAGTTGCTTTGGGTTTGGGGTACCCTGTGGTTTCAAGGCATTGTTTTGAGAAAAGAAAAACCCAAGTGTTTGACGGGTTTGTATTTGGAAGCAGAGAAGTGGGAGGGAGAGTATAAAATGTTTTTCTCCTCTGCTCACAAACGCCCGGTACAGGGTAGCTGGTGGGAGGCTCGTGGGCTGGGCGGAAAGGCTTGTCCCCCTTGAGCTGCCTCAGTGCCAGCGCACGAACGCCGCCGCTCCTTTGACCGCGCCGGAAGCCGAGGAGTGACCTGGCTGCTGCCTCGTCGAGTCGGCTAGTGCTTTACCTCTGATCCTGTTGTAAGGGTGTTTTATGTCTTTTGGGGGGGCCTTTTCCCATAGTGTGCCCTGGAGATGCGAGATTTTCCTTTGGCAGCAGGAGGCACACCCCCGGAGAATGCTGGAGCTGCAAGGGGAAAGGACCCACTTCCACAGCGGAGAAAAACAAAGAGGAAAAGGGCGTACGGGGGGCCAGCGCTGAGGGACGCACCCAGCCAGCAGCGGGCCGCCACCGCCCTCAGCAGCTGTGTCTGCTGCCCGAGAGGAACTCGGTGAGCCCGTCCCTGTTTGTGACTGCAAGCTCAGGATTTCAATCAATGCATTCCAGTCACCCTAAAGTGAGGAGCTCTCCGTCAGGAAACACACAGAGGTAAGGGCCGGGGCCTGCCCCGCTGCCCCTCTGGGGGTGTCACAGGTGGGCCGCCAACACTCACTGAGGGAACGGTGTGTGGAAATGGAAGCGAATGAGACCCGAGTGGGCAGAAGAAGAGAGAACAGACAAGTGACTAGGGACGGAAGAGCCAACAGGCTGCAGTGCGGTCAGACTTTGCGTTAGAGCTTTCCAGCCTTACGCTTTTGCCCGTTATTCCCTGACCGCGCCTCTCTACCGCCCCTCCCTGCCCCCCCCCCCCCCCCAGCCAAAGCGCAGAGGAAGGGCCCTCAGAGTCCGCCCGGTCCGGGGTACCAACCCTGGCATGTGAGGGCGAGGAGGCCTAGGGTCCTAGGACGTCCGCACCGGCCCCCCGCCGCTGTGAAGTTTCTTCCTGTGCCCCACAGTACTTAAGTTGATATTTTTTAAAGAGTGTTTTCCTCATGCCTTGGGGCACCGGTGAGTGTATGTGCCCTGGTATGTGATACTGCGTGCTGGAGTGATTCGTATCCGGGAGGGTTTCCCTAACCTGCTGCTCACCAGCGGGTTTCCTCTCCCGCTCGCTGGGTCCTGCTCCCTGCCCGTATTTTCCAGCAGGGAAGCTAGGCTCTCGCTACAGCTGTTCCTTGTCGTCAGCCAGGGGGTGGGTAGTATTTTGATCTTAACGATGCCTGTTTGTTTACTCTGAGCTAGTCTTAGTGTGAGAGTCACTTCCCTGTGTACATAGAAACCATTGTCCTTTATTGACAGAAGCCCTAGAGATGGGTCCCCATGTGACTCTAGGGTTCCCGAGACCTGGCAGGCCACTCTGCCTGAGCCTCCTCTCAGTTAGCGCCAAGATGAGAGCGGGGTCGGAGGGAGCGAGGCAGGAACTGAGGTGAAAGGTGGGGCGGGTGCTTAGTCCTCTGCGGCTCCTTGACCTACTCTAGAAACTGCTTCTCCCTGATTTGGGCCGACCAGCTGTATCCGGCATCTGATCTCCCTTTATTATTTGTCTCTTTTAGTAGCCCTAAGTCAAAGCAGGAGGTGATGGTCCGTCCCCCTACAGTGATGTCCCCATCTGGAAACCCCCAGCTGGATTCCAAATTCTCCAATCAGGGTAAACAGGGGGGCTCAGCCAGCCAATCCCAGCCATCCCCCTGTGACTCCAAGAGTGGGGGCCATACCCCTAAAGCACTCCCTGGCCCAGGTGGGAGCATGGGGCTGAAGAATGGGGCTGGAAATGGTGCCAAGGGCAAGGGGAAAAGGGAGCGAAGTATTTCCGCCGACTCCTTTGATCAGAGAGATCCTGGGACTCCAAACGATGACTCTGACATTAAAGGTATGTCTATAAGATCTTTGAGACTCAGAGGGAAGTAGGTGTTCCCAAGGGAAGGCCTCTGACGTTGGTGGGTGCCGGAGAGCCTAATAGCAGCCAAGTGGGGAGAGTAGGTATCAGATTCAGGAGTGTATGTCACAGCTTATTAAGATGGAGCTGTGTCCTCTCATTTTCCCACTGACCGAAGAACAGTTTGGAACCACCCTGTGGAGGAGTTCTCGCTCTTGAGGAGGCACGTGTGTCGGGGGTTATGGCAGGATGTTCCACGGCCCTCCCCGCGTTCTTAGGGATGTTTCTGGCCCCCCTGCGATTTACACTTCCGTATCCAGCTCCAGTTTGTCTCTGCCAGTGGCCCACACTGGAGCCGTCTTCCCGGCATCTCTCCTCTTCTCTGTCAGATTAACCCTCCGAGACTTGGGTTCTGTGCTCTCTGGCTTCCACTTTGCCAGAGTTGTAGGCACCAGAGGAAGCGCTGGTGCTGGGGGCGGGGGGGGGGGGGGGGGTCGCAGCTGATTCCCGCGTGGCAGGACCGAGGGGCTACGTGTGCTAGAAACCGGGGAGGCAGCAAAACAGAGCCAGCCAGGGAGAATGTGGGGCCGGCGGCTGTGGCTTCTGTTGTTTTCCCTCCTAGTATCAAACCAAAAGTCTTAACTATAGGCCAGAGCGTGAAGTTGCATTCCAGGAGTGGAAGTGCGACCCCTCCCCCCCACCAATCCAAATTAGAAATGAAAACCTGGGTGGTTGCTCTCCCCGTCTCTCCTTCCTTCCTCAGGTATCTGTGGGAGGCCTGGCAGGAGGGCCAGCACTATGCTGGGTGCTGGGGGGCACGGTCAGCAAGGTGCAGTTGCTGTCCCCAGCAGTTTGAGTGCACCCGGACGGCAGCTCATTAAACAATTACGATGAAATGTGATAAATGCTGCAATCAGAGGATTTGGGGGCTCTGGGTTCAACTCACAGGGGCATCCAGTCCAAGAGATTCCAAAAAGGTTTCCAGGAAGGAGACACGTTTGCGCTAATGTCTGAAAGGTGCGCCGGGGAGAGTACAGAGGTGAGGGGGGAAGAGTGCTTTGTAATTCGTCATTTCGGGAGAAGCAGTTTGGAATTTTTATGAGGTGGAGAGGTCTCCTCTTAGCAAGGTACTCACTCCTTGAAATTCTCAAGGCGGGTTTGTGTTGTGCTGTAAGTGCTGGCAGGGAAGCTTTTTTCTTTCTGTGACACGAGTCTTTCCATTCTTTCAGAATGTAATTCTGCTGACCACATAAAGTCCCAGGATTCCCAGCACACGCCACACTCGATGACCCCGTCCAATGCTACGGCCCCCAGGTCTTCCACCCCCTCCCATGGCCAGACTACTGCCCCAGAGCCCACACCTGCTCAGAAGACTCCCGCCAAAGTGGTGTATGTGTTTTCTACTGAGATGGCCAATAAGTAAGTTAACGGCTGGGTCTCGCTCTTGGCATGGCTTGTGTGTTTGGACACCGAAGTTCTTATTCCCACTGAAGGTTAATCCTTGTTTTCCCCTCACTGGTGTTATTACCACTTAAAGTTAACAGTACAGCAAGGGGTAAAAGAAAATAAAATATGAAACCTCCCTACCCTCTCTCCCTAGAGGCAGCCACTGATGATGCTTCTTTGGCTCTCCTTCCGGAAAGTTTTTATGTTTATAATATACATGCAGATCTTTTTTAAACACAGAAGAGATTGATTACACAATATCCACTTTTCCGGACGCCTGGGTGGCTCAGTCGGTTAGGCCACTACCTTCGGCTCAGGTCATGATCCCAGAGTCCTGGGATCGAGTCCCACATCAGGCTTCCAGCTCAGCGGGGAGCCTGCTTCTCCCTCTGACCCTCTCCCCTCTCATGCTGTTTCTCTCTCTCTCTCAAATAAATAAATAAAATCTTTAAAATAAAAAAAAATTAAAAATAAATATATAAATAAAAAATATCCACTTTTCCGTAATCGAGCATTCTTTTTTAAATAACACAAATAATACGTGTCTGTCTCAGAATAATTAGAAAATATCACTAAAAAGAAAAATACATCTGGAATGCATAGAGATAACTACTGTGAATGTTTGGGTACCTGTGTTTCCGGTAGATGGATCAGCAGATTTTTTGGTGACTTAATTAATTTATAGAAAGTGTGAATTACCCTACATACCTACAGAGTGAATTTCCACAGCCTTAGATTATCATTAGGTGTTGTGAGATTTCATGTTCCCCTTTCATGGTTGGGGCTTTGACCTCGGATTCTATAAAACACCTACCACAGTGTATTGGTTTGAAGGAGAAAATCTTGGGGTTTTTTTTAATGTCTCTTTTGAGATTTGCTAATGGCTATCATTAGATTTCACAAGTCTGGTGGTAAATGATAGACACGAATAATGAAAACCTGTGTTTCTTGATTCTTCCTCAACATTTCTGGTGGCTCTCTACACAGAACCACCCTCCTTCCCCTCTCACAAGTTGAATCTGGGGTTAAAGTGCTTTGGAATTACAGGGAGTGGAACAGAAGCAAGTCCTAGTGGGTGCCTCTCTTTCATCTCTGCAGAGCTGCAGAAGCTGTGTTGAAGGGCCAGGTTGAAACTATCGTCTCTTTCCACATCCAGAACATCTCCAACAGCAAGACAGAGCGAAGCACAGCCCCTCTGGTAGGCCATTTTGGAAGTGGAGTGTGGTTTAAAGGCTCTCCGGTGGCTGTAAAGGTGGGAGATGGGGAATGTCATTGACGGGGAGACAGTCTTGATGGTACAAGCCGCATTCTGGGCATCTCACCTGCTTGTGGCATTGCGTGGGTTCAGGCAGATCGCACTGTACTGGCCTTTCCTTTAGCAGGCTGGAGTACTGACGGGTTACTAGGAGAGGAAGACCCAGAATAAGAAAGGACTTATATGGAGATCTTCAGTTTCTTTCATGCTGCCATCTCTGGGAAAATCTGAATTCGGACCCTGTGTACAGGGCCGGTTTTTAAGAACTAACAAACACGCTTGAGTTGGTTGCAGAACAGAAAAGGCATAAGTGAAGCCACAGTACTGGAGTACGTGCTGATAATACCATAATTAGAGTCTCAGTGACTTTCAAAATGATTCTTACTTCAAAGTGAGAGGACCTTTGAATGCTTTTAATTGCTTGATATTTCCAAAATTATAATAAACGTTAGTCTGTCTCCTGTCTGGAACTTAAGTACCTGCCATAAACCACATTAGAAAAAGCATGCAGTGGTTGTTTGAATACATGGAACGTTCCACATGGAACCAAAAGCTGTTTCTGTGACTAGCATTGTCAAGGCATCCCACCGAATGCCATGGGGACACAAAGAGGTTCAAGACACAGTCCCTGCTTTCAGGAAACATAAAATCTAGTACTCAGTGGGATCTTTGACATGGGAAAAGTTAAGTGACAATAAATGAGTCAAATGACAATTCAAGATAAAATAGACATTTTTGTCTGTGTCGTGTATCAGTGAAGTCCCTCTCCATTGACACAGCAGAGCTTGGCTTTTCTAGACTTAGAAAAAGCATTTCACATTCCTCATACATCTGTGCTATTCAAGAAGGGTAGGGGATGGATGTACATAACGTTTAAA